TTTGTATATATTTGAATTCTGAATTATAACTCCACTTTTTACCTATAAAAATGTATGAATTTCGTCCTGTAAAATCATAGTCAATAGGCGAGTCTTGCAAGTAAATATACTTCTATCTTTCTTGTAACTTTGAAGTATTCAATAATTTCTTTTTAGGGAAAAGTACAGCAATGGTCTCTGTAGTTTATCCGTGGTTTTATTTTGGTCTTTATACTTCTAATTGTATAAATTTTGCCCCTACAGTTTGGTTTTTGGCTCTATATGGTCTAATAGTTAACAGTCGTTGACTTTTTGGACGGAAACCCATGTGTGCCTTGCACGCACGGGATGAAACCGACTAATAACTTCTCCAAAACAAGGCACTAATTGTTTGTGTGCTGCTGGCGTGGCACAACAAATAGATTATTTGCTTCTAGAAGATTGTCGCTCCTCCTCGGCTTAGGCTCTATTTGGTTGGGTTTTTAATTATTATTTTTTTAATATTAAAAGTTAATTTAATATAAATAAATATCAAAAATAAAATTTAAAAAAAATTAAAAATTATTTCCTATCCAAAAATAAAAAATCAGATGAAAATAATATATATTTTTATTTTTTTACCAAACTAATTTTTAAAATTTTAATATTTTTCAAAACATAGTTTCTAAAACTCAACCAAATAGAGATGTAATGAAGTAACTTGTCTATTTGTTAAAATATAGTTTTTATTAGAATTTTAGCCAAAACATAATTTATTGACTCACAATCAACTTATAAAAATTTAATACTAAGAAAACTAATTTATTTGATACATTGTTAACTTTTTGACTCGGGCAATGTTTGGTATTTTTTTCAATTGTTATATTTTTATGTAAAATTACCAATTTACCCATGAATAAAAAAAAAAGTTCATAAGAATGATGGATAGAGACAAAGTAGGGAAATTACAAAAAGTTGATTGTTTTTTTTTTTTTTTTTTTAGGAAATAAGGGAATTGACCAGTAAATCTCGTTTTGTAAACTTGTAATCCATAAGGTCTTGAATGTTTTTTTTGGTGACTGAGTGGTCTCTTAAATTATTTGTTGACAGTTTTTCCTTTGTCAGTACAGTTGGAGGACAGGTGGCGTGGTTATGTATGGGGAAGGTGTGGGGTGTTTATATGTCACGTTGTTCGAAAAGCCACTACTACAAAAATAGTTAAAGATCACACTTTGACAAAAAAAAAGATCTCACTTTTATTGGAAGTGTGATAAAAAAAATTAGATTGATATTTTAATCACACTTAATTTGATTGAGTGTGATAATATTTATTTTTTATGTCACTTTTCAATTAAGTGTGATTATATATATATTTTTAATCACACATTTTAATTAAAGTGTGATTATATATACATTACTACTTTTTAATCACACTCCCTAAATAGGTGTGATTGTATAAAATATTTCAATTTGATTTTTATATAAAATATACAATTCCCAAATCCGCGCCTCTATTCTACCCATGAATGATAGAGATGACTCACTACTAGAAAATGACGCTTTAGACACGGAACTTTTTCACCCATTTTTTCATCTTTCTATCTCTCTGTCTCTGTCTTTCTTCTCTCTCTCTCTCTCTCTCTCACTCATTACTCTTCTCTGTCTGTCTGTCTGTCTCTCTCTCTCTTTCTCTCTGTTTATCTCTCTCTGTCTCTCTTCTCTATCTCTTTTCTCTTTATCTCTCTCGCTCATCTCTCTCTGTCTCTCTCTCGTTTATCTCCTTTTGCTCTTTTTTTCTCTTCCTCTCTCTTTGTCTATATCTTTTCACCCATTTTTTCATTTTCCTCTCTCTCTTCTCTTTCTCTCTCTCACTTATTACTCTTTTCTTTCTGTCTATCTATCTCTCTCACTCTGTGTGTCTCTCACTCATCTATCTCTTCTCTCATCTCTTTTCTCTCTCTGTCTCTTTCGCTCATCTCTCTTCTCTCTATCTCTCTCATCTTTCTCTGTCTCTCTCGCTCATCCCTTTTCTCTGTCTCTCTCGTTCATCTCTCTTCTCTCTATGTCTCTAGCGCTCATCTCTCTTCTTTCTATCTCTCTCTCTCGGTCATCTCTCTTCTTTCTGTATCTTTTTCTGTCTCTCACTCTCTATATTTTTGTCCCTCTCTCTCTCTTCTCTTTCTCTCTCTCTTTCTCTCCCACTATGTTCGCGTTGCTCACTCTCTCCCTTCTGTCTTCTCTATTTACTGAGCTCCCTCTCGATTTATCTATCCACTACAAGAAAAATGCACTTTCAGCGACCACTTTGTCTCTTTCTCGCTCATCACTCTGTCTTTGTCTCTCTCTCTCTCTCTCTCTCTCTTCTCTATCTGTCTCTCACTCATTTTTCTCTCTCTCACCACCCATCTCCTTTACCACCTTCACCACTATTGCAAACGCCATTCCACTACCACCATTACTACCACTGTCGCCACTTCACCTCTACGACTACCATTGCTACTACCATTGCCACCACTACCACTACTGCCACTAGAGCACTTGTACTACAACTATGCAAAACATGAAGCATGTGGCAAAGACAATCCAAAACAGTCATAGAACATGCCAAAATGAGTCTAAAACATGCATGGAAGGAAGCCAAAATATGCTAGCATGAAGGGCATAAGGCATAATGAATGTAAAGTAAATAGGGTGGATTACACTACACCTACCAAGACCAAGCATGGGATGGCCTCGCCAACAAAAATAAGAGTTATATCATGGCAAAATAACCCTAAAAACACACTGAAATGATAGCTCGCAAGCTTCGGCATGAAGGCATACGCAATGACTCATGTTAAAGCATAAAGGGCAAACCCTCCAACGCATTGAATAGGTGAAAGATGTGAGTGTATGACCATGAAACATGGACTGAAATCACATAATAAATGATGCCAAATCATTCAAATAGGCCAAGCAATTCATGCTAGTGGACTCAATACACAAAGCTAACAAGCTAGAATGCATTATAGCTATACAAAGCATGGCATGCATGACCAAAACAACACAAATCAGACCTAAA